TCCTGTATGGAGAATTAGTGCAGGGAAGCCGCCCCCGAGGGAGACCACAGCTGTGTTACAAGGACATCTGCAAGCGGGATCTGAAGGCCTTAGGAATGGACCTCAACAGATGGGAAACCTTGACGTCTGAGTGTTCAGCCTGGAGGCAGGCGGTGCATCATGGCCTCTCCCAATTTGAAGAGACACTTGTACAGCAGACCGAGGCAAAGAGGCAGTCCTGAAACAAGCAAAACCAGGGAGCTGAACAGGGGACAGATTGGATTTGTCTCCAGTGTGGAAGGGATTGTCACCCTTGAATTGGCCTTCTCAGCCACACAAGAGGCGGTTCCAAGACCTCCATACAGAACACGATACCATAGTCTCTTGAGACTGAAGGATGCCTACAACACACAATAATATAATATAAACAGGTATGCTAATATAAAGAATATTGTAATTAAGATGAAAAACTCTCAGTCACAGTAACTTTAAACAGAGGCAGAAAGGAGATTCGCTAAATAGCACCCGTACTCTGTCCCCCAACTAGAGTTCACCACATAGCTGCACTTCAATTAAAGTTTTCCTGGGTATGAACAAACTTGGGTAGACAAATCTATTTCAAATGCCTGTTTGGAATCCTTTAGTGATAGAGTCTGCCAAATGCCAGTTAGAACATAGTCTCCAAATATGAGGGCCACCACTAAAAAGGCTCTGTACCTGCCAACCTAATTGCTTCCACAGGACTTGGAAGTAAACTTCAGTGGTGGCTCACTGAGGTGGGTAATGTTGGTCTTTCAGTTTACATGGTCTTAGACTACCAATACTTTAAACTGGATCTAGAAATATGTTGGTAACCTCTTTAATGGGTGCAGCATTTATTCTAGCTATCTGACACTCAGTGGTTCTTGGATGGCTGAATTTTTCACCGGCTTCTGAACTGTGTAAAAGCAATCTTCTGTTGCAGGCATTCACCATGTATGGATTTACCAGTTTAAGGTGGTACAAAGAATTCCTGCGTGCTGGTGTTCTCAGAGCTTTACTTTCACTGGTAGCCGCCTAGAATGGTCTTTCGACTAGACAGGCAGGGTATAAATACAATAAACAAACAAACAAATAGTTTCAAAACTTCTGAAACATCGTCTTGGTCCTTAAGAGAGAGTACACTGCATCTAAGACTGGTTGGAAACTACTATGTAGTCGTCAGTTTTTCCCTCACTGTACCCAGTCTCATCTGGGTTAAGCTTCAGATAGTTTATCTTCACTGAGCCCCACACTACCTAATTCAAGAGTTTCACAGCCTCTCTGAGTAGATGGGAAAGAAAAGTAAATATCTGTCTTATCTGCACATTGATGACATATCAGCTTCAAATAACTTTCACAGCAGTTTCAAGTAGTGTGGATGACATAAGTAAAGTGTGAGGTGTCTGACAAGTCAGCAACCATGCATGGAATTGAAATCCTCTTGCACCATCGAGACCTGATTTTTCACATTGAACACTGTTCAAAGCATGTGCATCCAAACACACACTTATATGTTCTTTCTGTGCTGTAAGTGGGAAATCATTCTTTCTCCCGTGTACTTAATGGTAACTTCTTGGGCCTGTTTTTATTATAATTATTTGTATTTGTGTTTGTACAGAAATATTGTCATCCTAATTATAGTATGTTTTTTATTTTATTTGATTGTGTAGGTACAGAAGGGCCTGGTGTCAGCCTTTCTGAGGAGAGACAGAGTGCTTCTGAAAGCTCTGGTGTTTCGGTCATCTATAACCCCTATATTTCTCTTTCTATTGAACAACAGAGGCAAAAGCTGCCAGTTTTTAAGGTATGAATTATCATGTAACTTCAAGTTGAATTACTGTGAATGTTATCATTTCTCCATATATGTTAAGAATATGCAAAATGGAAATTGATAATAGTATAGGACAGTTGTATACTTTTATCATCTTCTGGCAAACATTTTAAAGAACATTCAGTTTAGAGTACTGTATGTGATCGTTCTGAATGGACAGAAAATTTTGTGGGGGACATTCTGTGAATTCTGTTTTAAGGACTCTGTGCTAGATTGTATCTGGTGGAGATTGCATGTCTTCCTCAACGCCCTGTGCTGCTGACCAATCTGGTGAAGAGGCAGGAGGATTAGTCTCCCAGCTCAGCTGCTTGAGTGGTCAGCAGCACAGAGAGGAGGGCAAACCCATCCAGGTTACTTCCGTGATTGGTGCAGTGCAAATGATGAAAGCCATGCATGTTGCACCGCAGGCAGTAAGTGGATGGCCTGGTTCGGGGTGTGTGTGTGTGTGTTTCCAATTGGCCCAGCCACCTGTGGTGGTGATATTCGTATTCGTCTCCCCTGGGAAACGAATATGAATCTCATCTCTATAAAGAAATGATAAAGAAACCATAATAAATAAATAATAAATCATAATAAATCATAATAAATAAATAATGAAATAATATTCCTGTATTATTTTCATTGCCCTAACTTTTAGATTAAAATTTGTTTTCTCCACCACTGTAAAATCACTTTTGTGTATCCATTTTTGTTTCAGCTTAGAAATCACATCCTTTATCTGGTAGAAAACTATCAGACACTAGTAATTGTTGGAGAAACAGGATGTGGGAAAAGCACTCAGATACCTCAAGTGAGTATGAAATAATTTATATTTATTTTAAGAGTTTATACCTTACCCTTCAATCAGTTTCCCAGATTAACTCCCAGAATCGATGAGCAGCCTAAACACATAACCTAAGGTTAACATAGCACAGATCATATTAAAGCACATATGAGAAAATAAAAAGGTACTTATTAGAATCCTCTTGCTGTACATTTATAGGTTGTGTTGTCCAGTTTTACCTTGGGGAAGAGCACCTCATTTCGTTGCACCCACTTGTGAGCGCAATGACAAATAAATTTCTTATGTCTTATGTCTTATGTCTTAATTACTGAAAACTGCTGACGATCGTGAAGTGATATCAGGTGGTGGCACTTTTTGGTAAAGACTTCCATGTCCCATTCTATATCTCCCATGGGTTCCTGATGATGAAAGGGATTGTATGGGAACCTTAAGGACTTTGAAAGAGGAATCTTAAATCATAGGTGCTGCTGTTATCATCAGCCTTTTGTGGTGTAAGTTACAGCAGTAGATTTTAGCCAGTGGGGACTAGAAAAATCACTTCAGAAACATTCCAAAACTGGAGCATCACCAATATGCAGACATGATCATTTCAGTTCATTGGTGTATCTCAGGTAGCAGGGGAATCAGGAAAGAAATCTTAATGTACAGGCAGAAACACGTGAAGACAGCTGATTCCTCACATATATTATTCCCAAACTGGTCAAAATCCTCTTGCCTAGCTACAAAATGGTGTGATATTTGGAAACAAATTGCCCCAAGTTAAGAAATCTCTCTATCAGTTGTTCATTGAGTCATACAACTCAGTATATAACTGATAATGTCTACAGTGATTTCTTGTGGCAATTCAAAAATTACACTGTTTGTGCTATGAAAGTGTAATTAGGTAGAACTTCAGCCCATGGGTGTAACGAAATGGAGAGAAGATGATGATCATGATCTAATCAGAGCTAATCATGCCTAAATCTGATTAGTGTCAGTTGAAACTTTGGCATGTGGCTAGTTCTCTTCAGTTGAAATGAAGAAGATTTTAATATTAGTAATTATGGCTGGATCTCATGCACTGTATTGAGGGAGCAGTCATTGTCCTGAATCCAGGCTCAGCTATGCTTAAAGGAGGCCCAGTGAAATAAATGACAATTTAGTTATGACTAACTTGTCCCATTGATTTATTTGAGTAAGTGTGACAGCCTGGCTCCAACACACTGTACTGTATATGAAAACACCTGTCTGTGTTCTGATGAGTGATATTCTCTAAAATATGTTTTTGTTAATTAATGTATGCAAAGAGTTATTACAGAAGTCTCTATAGTCTTGGAGCCTTTTTTTCTTTTTCTAACAGTGTACTGAATGTTATCCTTCATTAACTTTTTAATGAATTTCCTTTCATCACCTTAGTGGTTCATTTTTTTTTTACATTTAGCAATATACCTTCCTTCCCTTTCTTTTTGATCTTAACAGAAGCTTATGATTAGAGCTACAGTTTGCTTCCATCCGCCAGAGGATTTCCTGAGTTTTGTTCAGGATACTCCGTAGTTTGAGGGGCAGTTTTGGCCAATTTCCTCCCCTTCCTCTGTAAATGTCAGGTGCTATGTCCAGTGCCACCTTCTGTCTACTGACTGAAAGTATGGGAGCACAGATGGCTGCCAAGGGAGGTGAGAACTGGCTTAGAATCTCCAACTTTCCTGCTGTCAGAAATGCTTCTCTGAATCAAGAGTCGTCCGTGGAAGGAAGAAGCCTTTTTAAAATTTTTGATAGAAGGCAAAATCTAAATGTAATATAAGGTGGATCCAACAGAAAGATAGTGTAACTACTCCAGTGGTAATTTGAGAGGGGAAAATGTATTTCTCCTTTTCCTTTCAGGTCTAAACAAATATAAGTTAATTGCCTTAATTTGCTCCTTTATAGTTTGTTGCTATCAGGGAGAAAAAGGGAGGGGGGAAAGTACCGTAAAGCAGACATTTGCTTATTAATTCTAAGTTTTTATATCATATCAACATTTTCCCCTATCACAGTATCTAACAGAAGCTGGCTGGGCTGCAGAAGGGCGAGTTGTGGGAATAACACAACCACGTCGAGTTGCATGTGTTTCAGTAAGTACTCCCAGTTTTAAACATTATTCATTTAGACCAGTGGTTCCCAACCTTGGCTAACCCAGGCGTTCTTGAAGTGCAACTTCCACCCAGAACAGCTGGTGGTGAAGACGTCTGGGAACTGTAGTCCAAGAACACCTGGTTACCCAAGGTTGGATAACAGTGATTTAGACAATGTTGTAAGTATTTCTGTTGTTTACATAGCACCTGACATTTACAAAGATTTTGATCAACTTTGATACAATTCAGAACATCATTAAACATTCTTGAGTTTCATTAATATCTGTGTGATAGTGGGACTGGAATTCAGTTCTGGAACTGACTGGCTTTTGGCAAGGAATCTAACAGGTAAAAAAATAGTAAAGGCCATATGTTTTCACTAGAAATGTTTATAGCTGCATTGTAGATGGGTTTTCCCCCTTTGGTTATTCTTTGTGTGATGTATGAAAACCTATATCAGTCATAATTGCACACAAGTTTTGATAGAGATTTCCTTATTGCTTTTGACAGGCTTGCTGAATATTATTATTCTGTGGAAGATTAAGTTGTAATGTGAAGACGTCTGGGAACTGTAGTCCAAAGTTACGTTGTAACTACTTAGTGTACAAAGCTATCCTTAATTCTGACTCAAGAAAACCATAGTTATGTATTTTTGATATCTAGACTAATAACTTGAAAAGAGAAAGATCTGGTTGCTATTCATCAACATAAAGCAGAAGTAGGTAGCAGTTGATTTGTAAGTCTTAATTGCATGCTGCAAATAGATGTTGGTAGCCTGCAATCTTGAAAATGTGTGTTGTATTTTAAAAATGAGGATTGAATAGCAGTTTATTTATAGTAACTGCAAAACAATCAACCAGCTTTCCAGCCGGGCCTGAGAGCAAGGTCACTATGCAATAACATTACCAAAGAATTTCCTTTATGCCTGCTGCAAAACAATCAGCCAGCTTTCCAGCCAGGCCTAGGAGCAAGGTCACTATGCAATAACATTACAAAAGAATTTCCTTTGTGCCCAACAGTTGAATTTATTTATGTTGCAATGTATTAATATGACTGCAGGTGGTATTTGCAGGTCTTATAACTGATGCTCTCTGTAGCTACAGTACTCTGGTTTTACAAGACCTTGGTTTTACAAGGCCTCAAAATGCTCCCAGGAGAAAAAAAATCTGGATGGCTGCGGCTGGTTATTTCTGTTACAGAAAATGCTTACTAAAGCTGAGCTCCAAAGAGCTATTTTGGGCATACTGAAGTACTTATGCATAGCTTATGTAATTTTAGTGAACAGAAGACCTACATGTTGCATCACAAAATGATTTCGAAAATATTCTGTTTCAAAACAACTTTGCCATCTACCATGAAGGTAATTTGAAGAAAATAAAACATCGGTACTCCAACTTTGCCATCTACCATGAAGGTAATTTCAAGAAGTGTTTTGCATCGGTACTCATCACTCACTTAGGTGTGCAGGAATGGGTATATAGTTCTTTCCATCCTGCTAGACGGCAAACACTTTCTAGCAGTCTGTTTTCTTGTCTCCACATTTAGGTTGATGGGTTTAAACTACCTCACACACTGGATTGGTTGCTAAAAAGTCTTTTGCTTAAAAAGACATTTCAATCAGATACGAGATTTTGCTTTGAGAAATCAACACCAAACCATATATTTAGGTCTCTCAAAATTTGGCAGTTAGGAAAGGAAAAAAACATTCTTGGCCAATATTGGAAAAAGCAGACAATGAGTAAAAGTTGTTTTGGATTTATAGTCCCTTTGTAGGGCCTTGTGTTAGGCTGTGTAAAATAATAATTTTGCAGCTCTTGCTCATTTCTTGCATAGATTTTTTTTCAGTCCCATGCTTTACGAAGTTTGGATTCACAATGCACATTTTTTTAAAAAAAATAGTTTGATTATAGACATTGAGTTTAGAGAGATGCTTCGTTATTTGTTAAAATGTGATGTTACAGACAGAAAACTTATGTATACATAATTTTTTTTCTTTTTCATTGTTAGTGTCACAGTTATTTAGATTTATCATGCAGCCCATTTGGACAAATGAGCTTGAAATATGCCTGAATATTTAAGCCTTTGGCACAGAAGACTTCTGTGGATACAGTTTACGCCTTTGTTTATATCACTCTGTAACTAATTGAAATTGATTTTTATTTATATGTTATACTGTACACCAATATGCCATTGTTAGAACAAACTTGATGACACACAAGCATGAAATAGAAAGGGCAGTAGTTCAGTTTTAGCAACTATGCAAAATATTTTTTGTTTCTCCAGGACAGATCATTGCTTTTCTATAATACCAGCCCTGTTTGGGAAAATTCATCCACCTTTTTTTAAAAAATAAGGCTTTCAAAAAAGTAGTTTCTTATTAGCAGAGCAATGCCTATTTCTTGTATCTTTCTTTACTATCAGTGTATTCAAATACAGTGCATTTTGGCTCTAAAGTAGCTGTTCTATGCGATGTTTGTTCACTACCTCCTCCCATCCACCCTCCTTTATTGCTGTTGATTATGTCAGTATTTATTTCTTTGATTTCTTTATTACATTTATATACCACTCATCTACTCAGAACCAGAACTCTTGATGGTTTACAACAATACACAAACATAATGCATAATAAGATTTTTTAAAAAAAACCCAATAAAAATATAACTACCAATATCTGCAACACAGCAGGATAAGCAGTAATACTTTTAACAAAAACATTAAGGTATTCCATTGTTTTAGATTCTGTTTCTTCTTTCCTCCTCCTTTCCTTAATTAAGGAGGTCTTCCCCAAATCTTCCCTGAAAAGCAATGTCTTTAGGAGTTTCTTAAAGGTCCAAATAGAGGGGGTCTGGGGTATTTCCTGCAGGAGGACATTCCAGATGGAGGGAGGCACTGCCAAGGAAGCCCCATTCCTTGTAGAAATCTTGGTGTCAGTGCCTACAGATGTAAGGCCTGAGAAGGCTTTGCAGTATGATAATATAAAAAAAGATTGTGGTTGCAATATGACTGGGTTGGCTCTAAGAAAGAACTATTTGAGTAGGTATTTCAGTCTGTAGAAAACTGTGGATAAATCTAACTGAAGCAACAAGGTTTAAGGTTACATATGTACTGTTTGCATAGATTTATAACTAGAGATGGGGGGTATTTGTATTTATATATGAATATCCCCACACAGCTGGACTTAAAGAAGGTCCGGACGCTGGGGCTGGACTGTCCACTCATGCGTATGGTGCTGCTTCCCCACACAGCTGGACTTAAAGAGGGTCCGGACCCTGGGGCTGGACTGTCCACTCATGCGTACGCTGCTGCCGGTGCCCCACTGATCCTTCCAATCGCTCCCAGAGTGCCACTCTCTTCCCACTCTGGCCACTCAGCAACCGTGCAGGGAGACTCGTCCTCCCTCTCCCTTCCTGGAGTGGCTAACCGAGCGGGAAGAGAGTGAAGCCACTCAGCAGCCATGCAGGGAGACTCGACCTCCCTCTCCCTGCCTGCAGTGGCTAACCGAGCGGGAAGAGAGTGGTGTTCTGAGAGCGATTGGAAGGATCAGTGGGGGCGACACAGCTGGACATGTGAGTGGACGGTCTGGCCCCAGGGGCTGGACGCTTGTTAAGTCCAGCTGTGTGGGGATATTCATATTTGTACACAAATAGAAATATCCCCATCTCTATAATGGTGTATTTGTACACAAATACGAATATCCCCATCTCTATAATGGAAGACTAAGAAGGCTAATCTAATCTGGTGCTAAATTTTGATAACCTATAACTTTTGTTTTGCTTTGATTACTGAGTCACTTCTGTTGAGCAGCTGGTGGTTTTTCAGTTAGCCAACTGCTTGCAGGCTACAATCATGAATTGGGATGGTCTGAGGGGTAGATGGGACTTATTTTCATAAAACAAATAAAATAATACAAAACAAATGTTTAATTCTTCTTCTATATATTGCTTTCATAATCTCTCTCACTCTCTCTCTCCCCCCCTCTCCCATTCTGCCACCTTTCTACCCACAGGGGACCCAAGGTGGCTGACAACAATTAAAATTGTACAGTGCTCACATTTTTAAAAAATACAATTAAAACTATATTTTAAAAAACATTTGTCAATATTCCAAATATTAAACAGATTTCTTAAAAAATCTAGATCAAAACCGGTGTTGAAAATATTTTAAAAACAGTTTTTAAATCTCTATATTGAATAAATATAGCATTCCTGAGACTCCCCATTCATTGCTTAAAAGCCTGCCTTAAAAGCAGGGAGGCCAACCCAGCTTTTTGGGGTGATGAATTCCAAAGCCTGGGAGCAGCCGCTGAGAAGGCCTCCTCTTGTGTGTTTGCCAAATGAGTTTAGGGAGGTGGTGGAATTGAGAGAAGGGCCTCCCAAGAAGATCTTAAAAGCTGAGAAAGTTCATATAGGGTGATAAGATCCTTTAAATAGCCTGGACCCAAGCCCTATAAGGCTTTATAGATAATTAACAGCACTTTGAATTGGGCCTGGAAACAGATTGGCAGCCAGTGAAGCTCTTGTAATAAGGAAGCTATATGCTCCCTCTAACAACGCCAGTCATACATCTGGCTGTAGCATTCTGAACGAGCTGAAGTTTCTGAACACTCTTGAAAGACAGCTCTACATTGCAGTAATCCAAACAAGATATAATCAAGGTATTTGTCTGGCCAGATCAGACATCTCAAGAAACTGGTGCAGATTCCTAGTCATACATAAAATGAACTAGACAAGATTTAATCAAATTACCCAGAAGCAAGTTTAATCAAGTACGTATGTCTCAAATTCACTGTATATTATTTATTCATTAAATTAAATTCATCATCAAAGAAACTGAATAAAATATATTCCCATCAATTTTACAAAAGCAGGACAATGCAAAGACTCCTCAGATTCCACTATTAGTATGCCACAATGTAGAGTGTTGCAACATAGATCTCCTGGATCCAAAGCTCTTCCCTTTTTCTGAAGAGGGGCTTAGATTGACTCCTTGAGAGGCTGTTTAGGTAACTGTAGCCTTCTTATCTTGAAATCCTAAATGTAGTTCTAGTGATTCTAAAATAAGCTTCTAGCATGTTAGAGATAATTACACTGAATATGAGCAAACTTGCTGAATACAGACATTGTAGCTCAGCCTGACTTCCATTTTTAAACATCTGAGTTTTTTGTTTTGTTTTTAAATAGTATAATGTAGTCAAACAATCAGTGTTGAGTAATTAGAAATGTACTTGCTCTCTGCTGTGTTTAATACTACCATATCTACCAGATTGCAGGCCGGGTAGCTGAGGAAAGGGGTGCCTTGCTAGGTCATGAAGTTGGATACTGCATACGATTTGACGATTGTACAGATCCACAGGCTACAAGGATCAAGGTAATTAATTTGAACAAAATGCTGGTGGCTCACAATTGTTTAATTGTTCTGTATCAGGTTTTCAAGGGGAATGGCATAGTCGTGCAAACAGAGGCCCATGATATTTTGTGAGAGTGGAGAGAAGACTCTTGCCCAGACACTGGGGTTTCCATGTTGATCTGGTAATTGTGAGAAATATTTGGATGAAACAGCCTTCCACATTTTGCCAGAGGAGATAAGAGCAGTCCTTCACACAAGTACCTTTGTGCGTTCAGGGATGGGAGTCTGGTACCACGGAGGATGTGATCTATTCAACATGAAGATGTAGGGCTAGTCGAGCTCTCACAACTGATGTTTCTCCTTCAAGAGCAAAAATAGTCCTTGTAGAGTCAATTCCCCCCCTCCCCATCAACAAATAGATATGGTATTTATTAAATAGATAAAACTGAAATGGTAAACATGTTCTGTGTTCTCAAAAGTCATTTAAATGTTAGAAGGGAGCCAGAAATCTCCTTTAGGGACTGAAAATACTGCTTGTTTACAATCTAAGTTGGATGAACAAAATGTGTGTTATGTGATGCGTCATCTCTGTGCTGTGAATGCATCATGTTTTCAAAATAATATGAATGCAGAGTGTTTTAAATCAATATAAAAGCAAATGGTTAGATTACTTCATTGTCACATAATTTCTGCTAAGATAATATTTTCTCACTGTTCTTGAGCAGTTGTTGTTCTCTAATTTTATGAAATGCTTACTCAGAAGTGATTTTGATTGAGTCAGTTGGACTTCTTCCCAATTAAATGTGTAGCATTTCAGTCTTGATTTATTGTCTTGCTGATTAATCACAATTCATAGCTGCTAATATGTGTATGTGGCTGATGCTGACTCTCACCTTCCTCCCTGGTTTGGCCCTCTTGTTTTCCTTATCACACATCTGTGTGGCTCACGTGAACATTTTTCTTTCCCTTTCTGTGTATTTCCTTTTCCATGTAGCATTGCTTTTTTGTATGTAGATTCACACTGAAACTTCTAGTTATTAGAATAGGTAGAAGAGGGAAGGATTAAACCCTTATCTGAGTAGATTAAATTAGTATAGAGTTTGCAGAAGAGTTTTTCAGTTCCTTATTCTGTCCTTGAAAAAGAGCTGTCTGCAAGATAGGCAAAACCTAGACCATACAAAAAGTGGCAAGTGGCCTGAACCAAGGGATAAGTGGGGTACATTCCATAGACTCCACGGGGCGCAGCCTGCAAGAGATGCTCCTAGGGGCCTTGGTGAGAGGTTCAAAGATTATCTTACTGGGTCGGCATCTATCCTTAATCTGCTGAAAAAGAGACAACCTTGGTGGGAGCATCTTCTTCTGAGTAGAAGGAGAAGTGGGAACACCTGGGGCCACTAGGGCATAAAGAGAAAGAAGGAAGAGCCTGGATGCAGGAGAGCAAGACAGAGGAAAAGGTGAGAGGAGAGGAATAGAGCAGGGTCCCAGAGCCAGCAGAGAATCCCTGTGTCCTGGCCATGCTCTCTACTTTTGATACCTGCTTGACCATCCATCTCTGTCCCCAGGGACTCATGCTTGGAAGTACCATTTCAGCTGGAGTTATGGCTTCCTAGACCATCCTATGGCCAAAGAACCAGAATGCCTGGGATCAGGTGCTGAATTTAGCAGCCCTCTCCACCCCTCACATCTTCACCCACACCAATCCAACTCTGTCACTGGAGGTGGCATGGCCAATTTAAGAGTCTGAATCAGCTAGAGTGGGACCTGCATGGTCAATGACACCAGCAACCAAGGGCCAGGGAGCTGAACAGGATTAGGAGAGGGATGTTAAGCCAGCATGGATAGTGATTTAGCTGCCAAAGTGAGATGAACTTGGGGAAGGGAGGGTGGTGGACAACACTACCCATCTGGGACAGAAAGGACTGTGACATTCTTCATGGGTCCGGGGCTCAAGGCCTAGGCCCTGTGTGTATAATTCTGCAATTAAAGTAGCTTGCTTGTTGTCTAAACCACTCTCTTTTGCCATGATCAGCCTCCCACACCTTGCCCATGAAGGGTTTGGGGACATGCACCCAGGGATACAAACCATGTTATAGTTCCTCATTTCATATGCTGTTGGCAAGACTCACTGTTGTTCTCTATTTACAGATCTTTCAATTTGAATTGAGTCCCATTTCAATCTGAATACTTTCTGCTGTCTGTATAACACAAGTTCACCCTGGTCACTCTGCTGAACTGATAGTAGGGGCTCCCAATGGAAGCTCAGAAGAGGGTCATCCCCAATCAGTTAATGAGAGGTTGAATTATCACTTTTCAGCCTTAACATGTTCATGCCTACCAAGACTAAGCAGAACAGTGACTGACCCAGCGGCTTGGCTTGGATATTATATTTTGGACTTTATGAACCATGTGTATGAAGCTGGGGAAAAGCATTCATCTTCTGAATATGGAATATTCATTTCTCCTGCAGATGTAGGAATTGGTATTTCTTGGTGTGCCTGCTGAAGTAATTAAAAATTATTTCCTGTCACTTACACACAGCATTAGAAAAGGCAAGGTGTTAGTAATGAATGCAAGAGAAACAAATGGAACTTGCTGTTGGATTGTGGATTGTTTTCATTGTTTTACTCATGCTATTCTCCATGATTCTCCATTCCATTTCCCAACCCAGTGTTTTCTCCAAATGCCAGTCAATAGCCTGTAGTCATTGAGCAAGTTCTTTGTCCTCATAAAGCTCTTCATTCCATCTTCAAGATTCTACACATCTTGCTGTTTTAGCTTCATAGGGATTTACAGTCACCTTTGAGATTTTGAAGCAGAGAAAATGACTTCCTTTTCTGTGGTTAAAAGTAATTTAGAACAAGTCACAGACCCTGTTTTCTCCCACTGTGTTTTAGTTCCTGACTGATGGAATGCTGGTGAGGGAAATGATGTCTGATCCATTATTAACAAGATACAGGTAAACAGCCTAGCCATAATTTTCGTGTTTTATACATATTAATGAGGTAATTTATTTTGGGTTCATATTCATCCCTACTTGTTTTCATTCCCTTTTGTTGCCTTCTCTTTGTTAGATTTTAGACAGATACTAATGATGGAATTGCTTGTTTCTGCTTATTATTCTGTAACAGGTCATGTATATTAATCGTACTACATAAAGAATAGATAATATATGAAAGGTTCTTGCAATATTGACCATGAAATTATATAGCCAGTTTATGTAAAACTTTGCAGACAGGTTGTCCCCATCTCCTCACTCAATAGTCTAAAAGCAAATATACCACATATATTTATTATTCTGTTGACTCCTTTTCAGGCTGAGGCTTCCCAAAGCAGTTTGCATAAAATTTTAAAAGACAATAAAAGTAGCAAAAACAGATTAATAGAGAAAATGAAAAACTACATAAAATGCAGCTACTGAACACCCTGAAAAACCTTGCTAGAGAAAATGGCACTCACTTTCCACTCCTCCCCTATATGACAAACTTGATGCCAGTCAAGCCTCTGTGGGATGGGTCTTCCAGGATGGGAGTGCCACAACTGAGGCCCTTTTCAAAGCTCTGCCATGATTGGGCAAAAATTGTCTTAATTTATGCATGGTCTCACAGAAGGGGATTTGAGAGGGTATCGCAGTAAGATACAGAGAAAAATAGCAGCTAGTAGTGAAAGATTCAGGGTATCTACATCAAATGAACATCCTCTTTTCAGGTACCATCATGTTTCTCCCAGATGAAAATTAAGGATATTTTTTTTTCCATAACATCTCTGAACCTCAAAGAACAGTCCAGAATGCCAGGACTATGATGTGGAAAGGACTACCCAAATCTAGCCCCTGGTAATATGAATAATTGGGTTATTTGAAAGCCATTGAATAAGTTACAGACCAGAGTTTGCAGAATCAAGGTGAATCTGTGAAAATGCAGCTTTTGTACTGACACATTCTTTTGCAAATGTGGAGAAGAATTGGCACCCTATGTTTTGGAAATGTAGTTTTGAGTCTTCTTTGAAAGTAGCATCATTTGCATTGCAGTGCAGCAATCTAATTAGGATGCTACCAAAATGTGTCCAGATGTTCTCTGTCTACAAAATGCTGCAGCTGGCATCCTGTCTCTTGTTACTTTTGCTATCAAGGCCACTCAAAATAGACAATGTGTTTTTATTGCCCACCTAATTCAGACATACTACTACATTCAATTTATCTATCCTTCTGGATTGAGATTGAGTTTCTTGATTCTTATCAGTTCCATGAAAGAAGCTAAGGACTTAGCTTCTTTAATTTTAGCACTTGCAGAGTTTTTTCACAGTAGTGCTGTTGCAACTCTCCTAAAGTTTTAAATTCTGTGAGTCAAAAATAATGTGACTTCCAGGATCATATATCATGCCACTTCTGTCATTGCAGTTACTATAGCTATTTTGGACTTGCTAGGTCAATGTTTTATGGTGGCCTTCATTTATGCATTTATTAATACCTCATGATTGGAACTGTGTTCTTTCTCCTTTGTTTCAGTGTCATCATGTTGGATGAAGCTCATGAAAGAACTCTTTACACAGATATTGCCATTGGTCTGTTAAAAAAGGTTAGATTTGGATTGTACTTTGCACACCCGGACATTGATTTGCTCCACTGGGTGAAGAGTTGTTACATTTTTGTAGCTCTTAATTTTGAAATTCTGTTCAGATACTCTTATCAGCTGCCAGCAATTTGTCAGCCTATTCCTATGACCATATTTTCCATCCAGGCCTATCACTACCCCTTGACCCAATTGTTTAAGGTAGATCAATAATTTTTGCTGTACAGACATTTGGCAGTGTGGCACTAATTATCGATTCATTTTTTAGGATGAATGCAATTTTTGAATGAAAGGTGGAAATAGCATACTGTTGATGGAAATATTGATGGAAATAGTGTACTAGTTCCTTTAAATGCTGCTTAAAAGTTCATAAGGCTGCAGATGAATTGCTTTGGCATTGTTTCCTAAAAATATTTTCCTGGATTTGTTTAATAATTTCAGACAAGATACATCAGTGATGAAAGTTAATTTAGGGAGAGCACATTTCTCCAGTTTGGTTTATATTGCATGAGAATACTTCCTTGTTCCCAGCCAGATGTGAAGGAATGGATAGTTCTCTGTGAAACTGAGAATGAAATATGAAGCAAGGATTTTTCATAAATCATACAGTCCTTTTTAGGAATTTGTTATATTGATCATAATGGAATTTAAAAAATATTTTCCTCTCCTGTATCTCACAGATTCAAAAGAAGCGAGGAGATCTTCGCTTGATAGTAGCATCAGCTACCCTGGATGCCGAGGTAAAATTTATTGATTTGGTTTTCAGTAATGTTCCTAGAGTGGTGTTTTTTAAAATAATTATTATTATTGTCATAGAAAAATTAGGCAGTTATAATTCTTGTCCTATAGAATTAGGCACCATAGCCTAATCAGTGCAGTCTGGAACAGAGGTACAATCTCCTAGAAACCCACTTTGGCCAGGCCAAGTCCCGCAAGAATGAATGACTCTTACATAAAATACACAATATTTTTATATGCCTGAAAAACGAATGCTAACCTTTTCAAGCCTCATTTGGACTCTTGTATACCCTCAGTTATAGTGCTTTTGTAAAATACTCTGTGAATTCCTCACCAGTTAATTTTTAGGAATTACAGTGGTGCCTCGCTTAGTGATCAATCCGTTTAGCGACAAAATTGCTTAGCGACGCTGTTTTTGCGATCGCAAAAGCGATTGCTTTGCGATGTTCTCTATGGGGAAATTTTGCTTTGCAATGATCGCAGGGAAGCAATCTTTGCTTTTTTTGAAATAATATATTGATGGTGGTAATTTTTTACCTTTATCCTAGAAATTTAGGGATTTCTTTAACCAAAATGAGACCAGTGACCCAAGCAAAGACACCAGCATGATCCTCACTGTGGAAGGACGGACATTTCCAGTGGATGTCTTCTACATTCAGAGGTCTGTTCCTGTTTAACACTTGTAAGTGGTGGCTAGAGGAGCATGCATCTGTAATAGCTGCCTGTCAACCAAACGTCTGGGTGGTAAGGGAGTGTTACAGAACTTAGATATACATTTGAAAAATGTCTTACATGGGCTTTGGTACCAGCACGTTAAGAATGTAAACCTAAGTCTGTTTTCCAATTGAATGTGTCTTTCTCCTATTTTGTGAGCAACAGGCGCAGACTTCAGTGGAGGAGGGCTTCGGGAACCTTCCCCCGTCCCCTTCTGCACCGGCCAGCTGGAGCAGACTTCAGACGAGTGCTACGGGGACTCGGTGGAATCTTCATGCTTTTCCTCCCCTGGAATCTTAGTCCTTCCCTTCCCCCTCCACAGAAGGGATGTGGGCAAACCTGGCAGCACCTTCATGCCCTTTCTCCTCCTCCAGAGAAGGAGATGGACAGGTCCGATGGCAGAAGTGGGCTCGTTTATTTACCCCTGCACGCACAGTGCTTGCTTTTGCACTTATGCTGAGCAAGGAAATGTGGGTGTCATAGGCGGATTATCATATATTTGTGAATCATTTCGCTTTATGTTCCCTTCCTACCTTTGCATTAGACATAGTTGAGGAATGCAGAAGTAATAAGATGAAATTTCCTAGATGGGTAGCAACATTTGTATATATTAACTAAACTGAGAGTTCTGTGGCCATTTCAAAGTGAATGCTTTCTCTTATGGTATCGGCTTTTATAGGTTAATGCTTATGTCATTAAATGTATGACATGATGCATACATATGGCACTAGAGTAACTTATTCATTTTCCGTACCTTGAACAATTTTTGGAAAGACTATTACGGCTGGAAGAGAGTTTTGAGTCTTCCATCTCTGCTTTTCTATTTTAAATTAAAATTTTAAAAATATTTATTTGCTAACTCTACTCATGTTGAAAGTTTTGCTAGAAAACCAGGATAGCTTGTTAATTGTAATGGGGTGCCATTTTAATAATTGGCTTCTGAGTGATACAGATAGGGCTAGTTCATGCATGCACATATGTCACTTGATTTCTATGCAATTGGTGCCTGGCAGCTAGCTGTGTAAAATTATATCACAGGAAAGCATTTTGTGTCTGTAAGGAAGTTCTGTTTTTGGTGTTGCATCTGCGATGGGCAAATATGCAAGATTATTTGGGTACTCAGTCATTAAGTGCTGAAGTTCTACATGTGATCCAGCCCATCGTGGTTTGTTTTTTAAATTCCGAAGGCAAAGAGGTATGCTTGAGTTAATAGTCCCTGTGAAAGACAATGCGAAATTTAAAATCTCTCTTTTTCAGAAGCCTTTTGTAAGAAAATGCTTTTACACTATTGCAGATCCTTCGAATCAAATTTGGAAAATTCTCATATAAATGTTTGGATAAAGCATTTAAATGTGTACTTGTATAATGCTTTCTATTATTTACACACAACTGTTAGTACAAGCCTTTTTTTAAAAAAAATCTGCTCTTTCATACAGTCTGAATAAACTACTTACTGAAATTTTTCATTGTTCAAAAATAAATTTTACAAGTATAAAATGCAATGTAAATAAACCTGGAATGTGTGATACTTTCAGAGACACAGAAGTAATAATTGTAAATGAATTTTGAAGAATTCAGGAAGGACTGGGCAGTGAATAGATCATGAACTAGGCATATTTTGAGGATGTGATATATCTGAATTATTTATGAAAAGCTAACTATATACTGTAGTCTTTTTGTTCTACTGATAAAAGGAAGTCATGGCCTCATGTACTTAAAACATCTACATTTTCCCCCAACAGTCCTGTTCCAGATTACGTGAAATCAACTGTGGAGACAGTCATGAAGATTCATCAGACTGAAGGTGATGGGGATGTACTGGCATTTCTAACTGGCCAGGTAGATAAAAAGCAAAAGTTTGTCCTCCTGAAGTTGTTCATTTGGTTGAAGATCATTCATTTTATTCCATGTTATTTAGATGTATTCTTTCTAAGGACATTATGCCTATGCTGTTTAGAATTATGCTAAACTAGGGTATACCATAGTGGTTCTAATGTGTTTTAGGAATAATCAAAGTTAGGGAGAGGTCTTCCACTTATCCCATCCACCAGTATGATTTTGTTTCAATGTCCAATGAGATTGATTGAATTGCCATTCAGCTGGGGCTTCCCACTTGCTCTTCTAGCTACTTTACATTAATAACATGCATATTTCACATTCCTTTGTGTTAGTTTCTTCAGATATAATTCTTTCCACTCAGTGCTTATAGGTGTTCCAGTCTCAGATGTGTCTGAACTGGTGCTTCTGTGCTTAGATATCAGTTTTAAAGGATGACAGTAGTGATATGTGAGAGAAGGAATGAATGGAAGACCTTAGCACTAGGCATCATGCCTGCTGTTCTCTTCTGGCACCGTGCATTTTTCTGTTTAGACTGAGGAAATTTTAGCACAGATAATAGATTGTGTTGTCAGAGCTAAAGCTTAGTACTCATATACAAGCAGAGTTGTGAAATGATTTGCCTTATTGAGCACACTCCATGTTTTTGCTTTACAGTATAAAGAATAACAATCATGTGTCATCAAGTCAATTCTGACTTACAGTGACCCTTTTCCGGGCTCTGGATAGAGAGCACTCAGGAGTGGTTTAACATTCTCCTTTTTTTCTGGGGGTGTGCCAGGATTGTGCTGCTTGCGCAAGGCCACACTGGCTGACTGTGGTTCATAGGAGGCATAGTGGGGAATTGAACTTCCAGCCTCTGGCTCCACAACCAGATATGTACACCACTGACTAAAGATGGGCATGAAGTACTTCATCTGATTTTGTCATAATTTGTCTGTGCCGCATGTTCCTTTCCCCCACCTCACTGGCATATCCACTCACCAGTTGGTGCATGCTGCTCTATTGTGTGATTCTTCAGCAGCTGGTTACTCAGAGGAGGAGATAGGGATAAGGATTCCCGCAGTGCTACCTTTGAGTGGCCAGCTGCTGGAGAGGCAGAGAAGAGAAGTCTGGGCTCCTGCCTGGACTGGAGAATTCGACAGTGGGGAGGGACGAAGCAGCGTGCACCCACTGTTGAATGGAAGTGCTGAAGAGGTGAGTGGGGGAAAGGAAGATGTAGCAGCTGTGCTGATGCACAGACAAATTAAGAAAAAGGGGAACAAAGTACTTCATGCCCATCTCTACCATTAATCTGTTTAGCACTCACATATATTGTTAGTATAATTTTTAAGTTATAGTGTATTGGCTTACTCTTCTTTCTTATGCTACCACTTTCTGTTTGTTCGAGAATATTTGGGATACATTTTTCCCGAAAGAAGAATAGAACAGTAGAACATCTATAGTCCCTTTTGTTCCTAAGGTTATTGCCACAGCTCTTCACATGCTATAATTGAAGAGTCGAGCTGCTTTTTTACCCCCCTTTTTAAATGTTTCTTTTAAAAACAGAAAACAAAATCATATAAACCTAAAACCTCTAATAGCACATAATAATAAGAAAAGACACAGTGTAAAAAACACCTACAGGTATTGTGCTCTCGCCACTTCACCAAAACTATTTGGAGGTATAACCAGTTTTTCCTCCCTCTTCTATTCCCATTCCAAAATTGCATTGACTCTTGTGAAGGTACACATCCCTTCCCCTCAATAAACAGAATATATTTTCCCCAAATATCTGTAAAAATATGCTCACTTATCACCTCCTTTATTTTGGTACTACATGTTAGGTAAAGGTTCCCCTTGACATTTAGTCCAGTTGTGTCTGACTCTAGGGCACGGTGCTCATCCCCGTCTCCAAGCCGTAGAGCCAGCATTTGTCCGTAGACAGTTTCCGTGGTCACATGGCCAGCGTGACTAGATACGGAACGCCGTTCCCTTCCCACCATGGTGGTACCTATTTAGCTACTTGCATTTTTACATGTTTTCGAACTGCTAGATTGACAGGAGCTGGGACAAGCGACGGGAGCTCACTCCATTGTGTGGATTCGATCTTACGACAGCTGGTCTTCTGCCCTTGCAGCGCAAAGGCTTCTGCGGTTTAACCCACAGCGCCACCACGTCCCTTAACTACATATTAACTTATCATAAATAGGAACAGTCCAGCTGCTGAGGGGTTAGGTTTCAGTGTTACAGCTTTGAAATGTAAACTGAAGAATCAATTTGCCCTGTTTGTTTTGTTTTGGAGCCGCCCAGCAGTCATAACTTGGAATGGAATGGAAATATACTATTAAAACATCTAGAGTTTGAAGTCTGACAACACTTCAAACTCAGTGACACATAATAAGACACCAGGAGATAATGTATAATATAATATATATTACATGAGCTGATTCATACAGCATAAAGAAACAGTGATAAGGAATTCTTTGTGACTCACAGAACTAGTATTTCCTGCTTCTCCTATCACATGGAAAAGCAGTTTCTGCAGGATGTATGGTGCACATGCAAGTCTTGCAATCTGCAGGAAAGTCATAGTCCAAGCAAGAAAAAGAAAAGGAGACGTCATGAAAGCATCCTCTTTTTTGTTAATTCTTTATGTGTGAAGCAGATTCAGATACTGGTTGTTAGGCACCCTTCTGTTCTAAAGTATACTTGCTCTAAAATCTGTAACTGAATAGGGAAACATCACTACTGTTACTGAAATCTTGTCCACTATCAGTTGACTCTTAAAATATAATAAACAGGAACAAAGTCAAGGAAAAAATGTTCAAATGTCATCTGTTAGCATTCTTGAACTGCCAGAATAATGGTTCTGAAACTAAATGTATTTTGATCTTCCACTTACCTTGGTTCCTTTCTAGGAGGAAGTAGAAACTGTTGTTTCAATGCTGATAGAGCAGGCACGCATCCTTGCTCGAACAGGAATGAAAAAACACCTCCGCGTTCTTCCTATGTATGCAGGCCTGCCTGCTTCTGAGCAGATGAAAGTATTTGACAGGGTGTCTCACAATGTCAGAAAGGTAAAACTATTTTATTTATTGTTGTAAATGTAAGACTTCTCTCATGTCACTTGATATACTGTGCTGTAGAGATTCTTTGGATTCTTTCACCATGACACATTCTCACTGAATCTAGCTTAACAGTGACAGAGAACTTGCAATTTTTTAAATTGCTTTTAAACACCCACCTATTGTTACATTGTAGTTGGTTATACTTCATTGACTCATAAAAATTCTAAATAAAAACAGGACTGGTTAGCCAGTGTGGGAACTGTGGTGCTGGGCAGATAGTTCTTTCTGATTCAGTAGGGATCTCTTAACTCTACAGAATCCTTAGTGGTATAAGTACTCCACAAATTGTTTGGTAATTGGTTGTTGTAGGTTTTTTGGGCGGTTTAGTCATGTTCTGAAAAACCTCCAGAACACAGCTGAACAGCCCGAAAAACCTACAACAACCATTGGATCCCGGACTTGAAAGCCTTTAAGAATACATTGTTTGGTAATTACTCTTGCTTGAAAGGGACAAATAGCAACCTTTCCTTTTATCCTGTAGCAAGGCTGTTTCCCAACCCATTATATGTTTGCTGGATTTTCTGTATATGTTGTAGAATTGTCTAGAGATCTGTCCCTCAAACATTGTTAGTGCATGCTTTGACTGATACTTATGATTGCATACTTTAGTAACTAAGGTATGGAAACTTAATGCTTGGGGGTTGTTTTTTTAAAATAGCTTGAAGTGTCTCGTTCCTCTTAGCAGATATTTATCTTGATAGTTCTAGTTCTGGATGGGAATGTTTCACAACTATGTCTTGCAGTCTCTAGCAAGTCGTCTTATTTAATGCAGCGGTCCAGAAAAACATTATTGCTCTTTTCTAGTTTGCCTAAGCCCTATGCAGCTATTTGCATACTCACTGATAGCGTTTAGAGTGGGAAGAGAGATGCGGTCATGCATGTAAATGTCTGACAACATTACAGTCTATCACTAAACCAAGCATGAAGGCCTAAAGAGGGTAGTTGGGAATTTGGCCATATAAGACCATGTCACTGCTGGGGATGTGCTGTAGTTGCATTTCTGTGTTCTGTCTGCATTTTACCTGTACACATGAGCAGGTAAACGTTTGCATAGGTTTCTATTTCTTGATCAGTGAGCACAATGAATTAAAAGCAAACTTGTTTTCTTTGGTCTTTTCAGGTGATAGTGGCTACTAACATTGCAGAAACATCCATTACAATCAACGGCATTTCATTTGTGATAGACTGTGGCTTTGTGAAGCTCCGTGCATATAATCCCAAGACAGCCATTGAATGCCTTGTGGTTGTCCCAGTATCAAAGGCATCAGCTAATCAGAGAGCAGGCCGTGCAGGCAGGAACCGCTCAGGAAAGTGCTACAGACTTTATACAGGTGGAGTTTTTATTCTTTGGTGCTTAAAATCTCATGAAGGTCTTGGATGCAGCTAAGTTTTATGTTCCATAATAAGATTTGTGAAAGAGATTTAAAGCAATATGTGCAGCTTCAACATTACTTGAGTGTACCCATGCAATCTAAACACTTCTAAACTTTCAGTGTAGAGGACATAGAGAGTTAGGTTTATCATAACAAAATCAGTTCCACTAACTCAAATATATTTTCCCATCCATTCTTTCCACTGCAGTCTGTCATGCCCTCTGAAGGGCCACAAAAAGGAGCTTTCCTACATCTTTCTTCCTGCTGCTCTTGTTATTCTCCTCTTGTTCTATTATAGAGGTTCTCCTAGCCCTCCAAAGAAGTTTTTGGGGGCTAAGGATGTTAGGGGTTGCTGAGGGAGGAAAGTCAATGGAAGTCCCTTTCTGTAAGGTTCCTTCTCTTGTGCTCAGGATCTGAACCACATTCAGTTAGTTGAACTGATTTTAGTTTACCTTTTAAACTGAACAGTTTTGTGCTCTGAAATATTTTGTGACACACAACTCATCTTTGCATTCAGATCCGAGTGCTGTGCCTTGAATTCTGAAAAATTGTTTTGTAGATGCACTCCTTACTGCTGCAATCAGATCTGCTGTTTTGTATATTCCAACTCATTGCTAAGCATGTTAGTTATCATTTGGAATGCCTTGGCTTTGTGTCTCTGCCTGTGTGTGTTTTTGAATTAGCCTTATGGATTTATATTTAAGTCCTAAGCTGAAAGAGCTTTATCCTTTCCACAGAGGAAGACTTTGAGAAGTTGCCACAGTCCACCATTCCTGAGATGCAGCGTAGTAACCTTGCGCCAGTCATCTTACAGCTCAAGGCTTTAGGAATTGACAATGTGCTTAGGTTTCCCTTTCTCTCAGTAAGTAAAGGATCCATGTTTAACTTTTCATATATTGTGTGATTTATCAAATTCTTCTATGATAAGAGTTACATTAGAAAAAGACCTCAGAATCTGTTTCTTTTCTGTATTCACATGGACCATCTTCTCTTTAGACACAGAGAAATAAACAGAGCCTTGATTTTAACATTTTGTTGTAGACAATCACAAATCCTATGAAGGCAAATGTGTGGAATTTCATTGAGGGGAGTAAACAGACTAACACTGGAGAGAGAAATCTTTCTGTCAACAACTCCATTACTTTGTTCATTTTTTGTGACAGATGTGAAGTAAGAGAAGCCCTCCCTCCCTAGCTGGCACAGAAAGTGAGCAAGCTGGTTGTGACAGGAAAGGCTGGACATCTTATTTGAAGTGCCATCCTTTGAATCCACCTGCCAGCACAACATCTGGCTGTGTCGTCTAGTGAATTCTGGAACATGTAGTCTAAATAGCTAATTTTTCTTTGTATTCATTTTCCATTAGGTAGGGGAAGATTATAGGGAAGAGGATAAATGGCTAATTTTTCAAAGCTCTAGAGAGGATATGATGATCCAGCTTTTTCTGTCAGCTCCTCAGATTTTCGGACACAACCTCTCTTCTTGCATGTTAAATTAAGAAACCCAATGGCAGTGGCAAGGAGTGCTCCATGCCTCTTCTGTCACCGTACAGAGTTTCTAGTCAATAGACTTGAAATCATATTGTTTTATTTTGCTTTTTGCTTGATTTTTTAGCTATGTGAGATGCTAGAAAAGCAGGGACAGTGCTGTTTGCTCTGTTCATTCTGCACTAGACCTTCTTATGAATAAAAAGCAGGCTGGTAACTGCTGAACATGTTGGTTTGCTTTCATTTTCATTTTCTTTCCACATGCTTCACGGCTATTCTTTGCAATAAAGATACAAAATATTTGTTGGAAGGAAAGAGGCCAAAAACAGCTACTTGCATCTTCTCTGAGATTACTAATAGGTAGTCAGCAGATCATCAGAGGTCTTATTGTCAGCACAAGAAGAGAATTTCGAATTACTGGTATACCACCAGACATGGCTGGTGAATGGTGTTCCTACTATGTGAGTCACAAACTGAATGCCTGTGCCGAGGAAAGCTACTGAAAATATTTTGGTTGTGAAATGTCTAAACCAGAGGTAGGCAACTTCTAGAGGCTCAGGATCTACATATGCTCATCTGTGAATAGTGGAGAACTGTACCCACTCCTGAGACCTCGCTCCTGCGTTGTGATGGATGCACAGTTGTTGTGGGGCTTCAAAACACCCTAGTGGGGTTCAGGGGCTTTCAACCTCTTTGTTAAAAAAGAGAATTGAGGTGTGAGAGGAGATCACCTGAGAAATCTAATCCATATCTTGAGTTTTGTGGAAGGAAGTGTTCTTGTTGTTCCTCTCACACTAGAGGTTCAACATCAGCACCATGGCTATTTTGACTCTGGATGCAGCAGTTCTAAATAATAGTGTTGTGTTGTATCCAAGTAAAACTCTGAAGTTTTTCAGTCAATAGAATCCTGTTGATTAGGAAAATGGGTGTAGGTGCAATTGTGTAAACTGCAATGGCAAATTGCCACTCATTATGAAGTTATCATTTGTATTGCTCGCCATATGTCAGCTCATGTTTTTGTGGTTCATCAACTGATGTGTGACAAGGGATACAAGCTGTGACCTGTTAACTAGTGACCATTTGCTGCTGAAGTTTATGTCATCACACATTTGCTAGCTTAACTAAGCATGATTTTGGCCAAGAAGTTTCTCCCCTTCTGGTATTTTACTTTTTGTTTGTTTTACTTTCATTGATCAGCCTTAACTACTGTATCTGTCCTTTTGATTTCTCACAGTGTCTCCAAATTATTCTAGCTTTCTGCAATTTGTGATTGATGATTTCTTGGTTTTTATTCGTTTTCTTTAATCTTTTTTCATTGTTCCTCTCTTCATCCAAGAAACCTTTACTAAGCTGCATAATCCCACATTTCCTGTGCATCAAATAACAATCTGTGTGAGTTCATGTTTCCATGCTTTAGAACTAAGGGACATACAAGGAAAAGATTTGGGTAATTTAAATCTTGCTTACCTAAATTTATTGACTTTCCCCCCAGCCTCCACCTGCTCAATCAATGGTACAAGCTCTGGAGCTACTCTATGCATTAGGGGGTAAGATTACTTTTTCCTGTGGTAAATTTTCAAGAAAATATTCAAGTTATTACCTCTGCAAAACAAAGAGTTCAGATGTTTGTGAGGGTGCTAATTTTGTCACATTACTATACTTATACAGCAGATATAAATCCATTAACTAGAGTCAGAACCTTCTATTTCTTAATGAACCAACATGAGAATGAAAGCAGGCTTGTATTTGGTATACTTTCCTGTTCTCTGTGAGTAACAAATACATGCATCATTTTGGGTACATCAGATAGCATTTCTGTTTTTAATTTAAACTCCCAGGGAACACAAAAATAGTCACTGCCAGGAAGAAAGATCTGTAACTATTATGTGGTATAATCCATGTTGTAATATTTCATGCACATTCTTTAGAGATCTCTGTTCATCACCTTTAAAAGAAATAACCTACTGCTCTAACCCATGAGTTTCATTCGTTGATGTTCATGCAGTGATAGTTAACAGTAGGTTGAGGACACTGCCCTAAAAGATCCCAGGGTAGGGAAGTTCTTGCCAACAGCCAGATAACTGGATTTAGGCAGTTGGTTTTCAGTGGATCAAATATTTTACACCCATTATTTTCAATCGCAGCTTTTCTGTTTGGCGATTCATATATTGATGCATCATTGGTCCTTGTGTTTGTTGTGCATCTGTGGTTTTGTCCCAGTGTATGGATAAGGATTAAGAAAGTGGCCCTAATGTTCTTATTTATTGCATATTGTTTGACATAAAGAAGGGTGCTTTTATGGAGGCTAAATAATGTAATGGAAAGATACACACCTACTGGAAAATTCTTATAGAGTACTTCTAGTTGATATAATCCCAAGTAAGGTCTTGGATTTTTTGCTCAAAAAATCTTGCAGTCTTGAGCAGATCTATAGAAAGGCCAAACCATCTTCTCTGCTGATTTTTGTCACATGTGCAAGCTGCATGATGGAATGTCACCAGCATTGTTATTAAATTCTTTTAAATGTTCTCCACTTTTAAGTTTAAAAATTTTGCAGAAGCAAAACTGAAATCTAACAGCAAATTAGAATGTTATTGAGGGTATCTCTAATTCTCTAAGATTTTGGGTCTTTGAGATGTTGGAAGATATAGTTGTCTATCAACAAAGGTGCCAGTTTCAAAATTGTCAATGATTCTAAAAGTAATGGGGTCTCCTTTTATATTACAATTTTCAGTTATTGCTTTCACTTGTTGTTTACAAGGCAAATGAAAAACATGTACATAGTGCAAGGGAAACCAATGATGCATTTTCATTTGTTCTTCTTAAAAGTGATCACTTGTGAATAAACCTTCCCCCAGTACTGTTAATAGGAACAACTGACAATTGTAACATGTGTTCATCAGAATACTTTGCCTTTTCCATTCTTAGACTTAAAATCGTTTTATTTTAAGGAAGGTTTTTCCCCTTCCCTCCCTGCAAATATCTGAGTGAGTAAAAGAGAAACTAACTTGATATGAATACTCATAATACTTAAACATTTAATGGTTGGGTGACTCTCCCATGGTGTGCCTTGTTAATAGCAACTTTGGTAGATTGCTCCAGAGGAGTCTTCTTTGTACCCAGCTTGCTTTGGGGGGGGGGGACAATGTGTAGCCTGTATAATTAAAATTGTAAACCGCCCGGAGAGTGCTTGTAGCGCTATGGGGCGGTATATAAGTCCAATAAATAAATAAATAAATAGTACCCTGTTTTCCCGAAAATAAGACCTAACCTGAAAATAAACCCTGGTATGATTTTTGAGGATGCTCATAATATAAGCCCTACCCCCCAAATAAGTCCCAGTGAAGTGAAACCCCACCCTCCACCATTGTGTGGCATTATGCAGCAACCCGAAGATGACATGACTCTATTTGAAGAAATGTTGATTGTTGTACATGAAAATAAAAATAAAACATCCCCTGAAAATAAGCCCTAATGCGGTTTTTGGAGCAAAAATTAATATAAGACCCTATCTTATTTTTAGGGAAACCCGGTATATGTTATGTGGCCAGATATAATTGGAGTTGGTGTAAGATCTGTTACAAAACATATATTGTGAAAATGTACATTAAAAGAAACAAAAGTGTAGTGTACACATACATACATATATTTTATGTGAAATGTACCCGTGACACCAAAGCAGATCTGTTTTCCCTCTTGAATGTAAATATGAGTTCTGGTAGTAATTTGTTTAATACTGCTTTCTGACATCAAGATGAAATCATAGGTGGATTACCTATGAATTAGAATGTTAGTTCTCTCTTTTTATAATAAACAACAGCTTGTGCATAAGGCCCTGGAGCACCTCCAAACATCATCCTAAGTGTTGCAAAATGGCTTGTTCCTAATTATTTTTGCAGGTTGCAGATTTTGTGCTTTCATGGTGTAGTTACCCAGGCATTATGCAGAAAACAGGGATAGGTTTTAGCTAGAATTTTACTTCTGGAAATAGCACACACACTGTCACGAGCTTCTCTGTGGAGAGAGTCATGCTTTTAACACCTACATGATCTATTTGTTTCCAAATATTTTATAACACTATGTTGAGTCATGTGTTCAAGATTGATTATTTGCAACAGCCATATGTTTTTGCAAGCAAGATGTATTGAATAATAAAACTGTCACACCCCAAATCTGTAAGAAACAGAATTAGTTAAGATCAAGTCAGTAGAACGTATAGAACCATGAATACATGTTACTTGATTTTTCTTCAGGGCTTGACAAATACTGTCGTCTCACTGAACCTCTTGGAGTTAGGATAGCAGAGTTCCCTTTAAATCCCATGTTTGCCAAGATGCTCCTAGAATCAGGTAATGCCAAATTCACGTGCTGTAATTCACTTTGCTTTTGTTAATTTCCTACACACTTTGGAAATAAGGATTCTTTACTGGATTTGATTTGGGGGGTGGTATTATTTACTGCTCATTTTTTCTTAATAGTATATAGACACATTTAACCATGAGGGTTGAGAACTGAGCTGGGAGGGTTGCATATAAATTTATCCCACAAACAGTCCAAAACCTAGTTATGTCCAAAGTATGCTCGATGAAATTGGCTGTGCAAACATCGAGACTTAATCCATCCTCTCTGTTACAGCCACTAAGGTCAGCAAGAACATTGTTGTGCCGTTTGTTCCCTAAGGATTACATTTAGATGGTTGTGCATTGCGTTCATGCATGTATTTTTCTTGCCTATTGTTTCCATCTCAGTCCTTGCAATCGGCTAAAGTGCCCATATGGGTTATCTCAAAAGCAGCATTCAGTGCAGTGCAAGGGGCTACAGTTTTTGTGATACAAATCAACAGTAAAAGACTGATTGTAGCATAAGTTGCCCATGTCTGTTATAATTGGCTATGGATCTCAGTCTCTCTGTTATCTCTCGCTATATATTATATATCTCTCTGAACAGTTTTGGATTTTCTTTTCCCCAGTCCCTAGAGGTAGAACTAATTAGAATTCAGAAGTAAACATGTGGATTATTGAACACAATGGAAAAGTCAATTGCCATCTTTGACACAACTATGCCCTGCTTTGTAAATCCAGTGACAGCAGTGTCATTGGCTGCTATACCCATTTTAATCAGGCAAGCATCAGGAGCAAAGTATTTTCTTAATGGTTCATTTGTATCGGTAGCTTGAAAATGAACAGTCTTCCCTCTCATTTTGTCTTGATAATTTTGCAGGAAATTTTGGTTGTTCCCAGGAGATCCTGAGCATTGCAGCGATGATGCAGATCCAGAATATTTTTATAATTCCTCCAAACCAGAAGGCACAAGCCGTAAGTGTCATTGCTATGCTCTTCTGGCTCTTTTACATACAGATGAAGAGGAGTGGATTTCCTGTTTGAATTCATGTTTTGAGACACCTCAGTGACAATTGAGAGGCTTCATATAAATACTAAAGTGACCTTATGAACCACAGATGCTTTAGTGACAAAGCCTGTGACATAGTGATCCCTGTTTACATCTCAGAGTTAGACATATATATTGAAATTCCTTAATTAGAACCTTAATTGTAACAAGAACAACATACTCTTGGCTAGACTACTGATCCCATGATAAACAACATAATGAATCATCTTCTCCCGGGTCACTTGCCCCTCAACAAAGGTCAGCTGGAGAAATTATTTTGCATATCTCACCTGCATCTGAGGAATGGCTGAACATATGAAAACCTGCTCCTGTTGTGGTGCCTAGTCTATGTTCAGCCTGATTGCTTCTGTACTGTTTTTATTTGCCGTTTGTTTTTTCTTAATATATATACATATGTGACCATGAGTGGTGAGAGCTGGACTGGACATTCCGCATGTTGGACTGCTATTGCAATGCCGAATGAAAATGTGTTTGTTCTTCTTCATGGTTTCTGTGACTCACACAAATGAGCTGGGTGTCTGGTTGTGTGAGTCTGCAGATGACTATGTGAAGAAACACAGATATACCTAACCAACGTGTGCTTTCTGACAAGATTTTGTTCTGCGGGTTGCAGGTACTTTGAGAATAACAAATGCTGGGGGAGGGGTGCTTTTGCAGATTCTTGCAGAGGATTTCATTGGGATGCTAAGGGAAAAACAGTGTATGGGCACTATTTTAAACAAATCCTTGCATTAATTTTTTTTTCTTGCAGATCAGAGAACACAGAAAATTTGCTGTAGAGGAGGGTGACCATCTCACTATGCTTAATGTCTATGAGGCCTTTGTCAAAGTAAGCGGAAAGCTAACGGGTGAAAAAAAAGATGATGCTACTAGTCTTGAAACCAGTTGATATATATTTCAGAAGACTAGAAAGATTCCAGAGTGGTAACAGCCAGGCCTGGCTGTGTGTTGAAGCACTTAGCATAGCACTAAAATTCCACCTAGTCCCTGAAAGTCATATTCCATTTTTTGTTGACTTACGATATTTCATAGTTGTGTCCTGTGTCCTGGAAACTTTGTTCTTCTCCATTAAGAATTATGAATGTTGCATGTTAGATAAAATATTGAAAATGAATGCTGACATTCTCAGTCTGAACACATTTATGTCCTCAGCAATCTGGTGAATGTCTAGAGAATGCACTTGTAGGCATGCTTATTTCAGTTCTCTTTAGTGTGTACTATTTGTTCTTTAACTTAACACTCTAACTATGGAATTCCTTCATCTAAAATGGTGTTATCAACTTAAATGTAGATTCAGAATGTGGAGAAACTGGATAGTAACAAAACTTTGGCTTTGTATACCCTACTTCCATAATATTAAGGAAACCAAACTATGGAGCAACATCCAATGAAGTGTTGAAAGAACAAAGTGTTCTTGGTATACAGACGTGGGATCTAGGGCTTGGGAAGGAGAAACTCTCCAACTTAATGACAAGCTGTTCCAGTGTCTGCAGAACTGGCATGGAGTTTTCTGTACCTTCTATTGGCCACTAGTGACTGCCTCATCTTGGACAGCGGGTGGAGCTGCAGTTCATATATGGAATACCCTTACTCCAGCAGACATACTGGAGAGTGGACCTGTGGAGAGTTATTTGCATGAGGAGGTATCAAAGGTCTCCTTGTGTGAGTTTTAGAAAGGTACTACTACTTGTTCACCTGAGTTGCACAAGCATACTTGCCAAAGAAATGAATTAGTTAGGCACTCCCAAGCCAACTACACCAGAGCACAGAGTGCTGTCCTCTGAAGATGCCGGCCACAGAGACTGGCGAAACGTTAGGAAGAACAACCTTCAGAGCACGTCCAAAGAGCCCGAAAACCCGACAACAACCAAATGAATTAGTGCTAATGCTTTTCTGAAACCAGATTTTCAGAGCAATTTTGCTGTTCCTTTTTCTTTTACAGCACAATAAAAGTTCTCAGTGGTGTCAGGATCATTTTCTGAATTACAAAGGACTTGTCAGAGCCACAACTGTGCGAGAGCAATTGAAAAAACTTCTTGTCAAGTTCAAAGTACCAAAAAAGTCAAGCGAAGGTATGAGCCAAGGGGAAGATGTTTGGCTACTTCTGTGTGTTGAATTTCCTTTTTAATACAGAGAACAGAACTGCCTACAAGAGTCTTTGTGTGCCTTCACAGCACTTGTTGACTTGGTTTCCTTACTGTGGAGCCTACTAGCACTCACACATCTGAAATATTTCACTAATGTGCACTGCAGTTTTATTAGCATGCTATATGATGCTAGGCAGGTGCTAGGCAGCGCTTTGTTTCCTGTAGCTTGCTTGTCATCTGTTAAAACCTCTTTGTCTCTGACTACCTTATTTGTTGCATACAGACATTCCAAATAAAAATGTAGTGTCTGTTTTTTTTTAAAATTGAGACAATACAAATGACAATATGGTATCCTTTGAATACAGAAGTGAACACACCCAGCTTGAGAACTGTTTGTCAAAGAAGGTGCTTATTGAAGGAACTACAAGCAGATCTAACATGAATTAAATTTGTGCATTGTTTGCTTACAGGTATCATAGTTCATGAGTGAATGAATATTTAAAGCATATAATTTGCATGTAACTACATAAAGATTCATATCTTGCCTTCCATTGAGTCATCAGGGTGGCTTAAAGAATTCAGTTAAAAAAGATCTCCTTCCGTAACCACATATCTTTTACCTTGAGAAATCCAGACCACATTTCAAGAAAGTATGGGATCTTCAAGCCCCAGTATCTTTTCAGTTTTCCAGATTCCATTTAGAGTTGAATGTAAGGGGTTCTTTCTTAGCTTTTGCTTGTGCTCATGATGAGAGATAGCACGAACCACCAGTTTGGCAGTTTGTACCAGTTCATTTCTTGGTCAAACAAGTGTTCGGCACTTCCCAGCCCTGCGTCCACATTTCAAGAAAGTATGGGATCTTCAAGCCCCAGTATCTTTTCAGTTTTCCAGATTCCATTTAGAGTTGAATGTAAGGGGTTCTTTCTTAGCTTTTGCTTGTGCTCATGATGAGAGATAGCACGAACCACCAGTTTGGCAGTTTGTACCAGTCCATTTCTTGGTCAAACAAGTGTTTGGCACTTCCCAGCCCTGCGTTGCAGCTACCCAGTCAGAAGCAATGCCTGGAGAAGACAGGGCAGAGACGCTGGTGGGGGCTGACTTTTGAGTGGGCACCTACCAGAAGAGGCAGGGCTGAGAAGTGCTGAACACCTGTTTGGCTGAGGAAAAAACAACAACACAAACTACCAAAAGGGCGGTTTGTGCCCATCTCTACTTGATTGATAATCTGCAATAACTCCAGAAATACAGAAAAATGATATTTCAAAACTGTTGAAGTTATGTATTTTAAAATTAGTCCCTGGTCAAGTTTTGAGGAGAAACGTGGTCAAGTTTTGAGGAGAAACGTGAAGGAAAGGAGAAAGCCTCAGCAAAATAATCATCATCATCATCATCATCATCATCATCATCATCATCATCATCATCATCATCATCATCAAAAATTGTGAAATAACTGGTCCACTTGTTAATTTTAGGTGATCCAGATCCAGTTCTAAGATGTATAGTTTCCGGGTTCTTTGCTAATGCGGCCAGATTTCACTCTACTGGAGCCTACAGGTAAATGAGCGATTCTATAGCAAATCCCCCATGTAAATGTAAACATCACTGTCCTGCTTTAGGTTGTGATAATATGTCCCAGGCCTAACAGTGATGGCGGAGAGAGCAGTTGTGATCAGAAGAAAGGTAGAGGGGAGGTAGTTTGGATTAAATTTGCCTTTGATGAAGGGATCATAGGAAGTTATACACCATTAAGAAATAGTAATTGATGACAGACCCTTCCATGTCAGATCCATTCATCAACTGAAAAGTTGTCCTTCTTTGCTTGAAATAAATTAGCTCTGTAGTTCCTAGTTCAATTGAGCTACACCAGGGTCAGAAGAAATTACAGCAGTCTTCATATTATTTATGGGAGTCCCTTTGTTCTCTCTGAAGACAACTTTGTTTATCTGTGATCAGGGTGATTAGTGAGGAACAAGTGTCTTTTCAGATGCAGACGTTTATTAGCCTGGTTTGGCATGTTATCAAGTAGTTACAATAAATATGAAATTCCAAAATACTGCTGTTTTTTTTTCAAGGACTATTCGCGATGATCATGAACTCCATATCCACCCCACTTCAGTGCTGTATGCAGAGAAGCCTCCACGTTGGTATGTTAAGAGAGTTTCCATACTACTTGCACTTGATACTTTATACAGAGTCATATTTTCCATAGCATGTAGCGCATCCAGAACATTATGGCTTCAAAATACAGAGTGTGACATAACATTTGTTCCCTTGGAATGTTATTTGAATATTTATCTGAAAGTATGCATGTGAAATTCAGAACTTGCTCTTCATACCCTTTGTTTCTGAAGGATGATTTGAGGTGCACCAACCAGTACTACTGCATTTTGATGGTGACCTTAGCACTCTCCGATGACTGCTTTTCACAATTTAACACTATTGACCTGTTGGAGGATGCTCATAGTGCCTTTAAGACAGGTGGAAATAAATATCTGTATGGAGTGTGTTTGTGCATATAAGCAGTATGGCCAATATCCTGTGCAGTATTTATGTATGTGGAACTCCAGCTGCAGAAGGTGCTTTGACAATGAGTTGCTGGGCGTATATCAGAACTGGCACCTCATCAGAACACCATGACTATTTCTGCAGTTGGTGTTCTGCAAATATTCTACAAGATACTGACTTACATTTGTAAATTTGTCCCACATTATGAATCAGTTGAAAGGGACGTGGTGGCGCTGCGGGCTAAACTGCAGAAGCCTTTGCTGCAGGATCAGAAGACCAAGCAGTCGTAAGATCGAATCCACGCAACGGAGTGAGCGCCCGTCGCTGGTCCCAGCTCCCGCCAACCTAGCGGTTCGAAAGCATGCAAATGCAAGTAGATACCCACCTCGGTGGGAAGGTAACAGTGTTCCGTGTCTAAGTCGCACTGGCCATGTGACCACTGAAGATTGTCTTCGGACAAACGCTGGCTCTATGGCTTGGAAACGAGGATGAGCACCGCCCCCTAGAGCCGAACACGACTGGACAAAAATTGTCAAGGGGAACCTTTACCTTTACCTTTATGAATCAGTTATTGGAATGAACTGATGGATAGCACAGTGATTTAGGTATCTCATTGTTGAGCCAGAGGCTGGGAGTTCAATTCCCCACAGTGCCTCCCTCACAGGACCTGGATTCGATGATCCATGGAGTCCCTTCCAGCTCCACGATTATGTTGTCTTGGATCAAAACCTCAATATTGTTTTGAAATACTTACTCTTTTTAGTGCATGCTCTTTATAACACATTTATTTGCTGTGTTTTTAGGGTAGTGTATAATGAAGTTATACAGACCTCAAAATATTACATGCGAGATGTAACAGCCATTGAATCTGCCTGGCTGCTGGAACTTGCCCCTCATTTTTACCAGCAAGGAACGGTACGGGCTCGGCATAGACTCCAAACGGTACCATTGCCGTATTGGCAGTTCTTCTTATTCTACCTTTTCCTGTGTGTTCTGCATATGGTTTCCTTTCAGATAATTTGAATTAGGTTGGTGTTTGAATTAATTATGACTTGAATTCAAGCTATCTGATGGACTGCTTCTCCACATATGAACCTCCTAAGATCTTTGGAGGAGATCTGTGTCTCAATCTCATCATCCTCACAGGCATACCTGATGAGGACAGTAGAGAGAGCTTTTTTGATGGCTGCTTCTAGGACGAGAAGAGGAGGTAAGTGTGTGCGCACACTGTGGGCTAAGTTGCAGCAGTGGCGACCACGGACAGCTGAAACCGGAGATATTGGCTCTGTGAATACTTACTTTGCCTTTTGAGATAATAATGCTGACAACAATTGGTAGGATTACAGAAGATATTCTATCAAACGGATTGGGAGTTTGAATTGCACTTAAAAAATTGTAAACTTTGATTTTCAGCATGAAGGCAAGGCATATCTTTACATTTACAGCAGCAGCTCAGGGGTAGGAGGGGAGTTGCAGCATCTGTTTCAGAGAGGGAAGCAGAGGGGACTAATGTGCAATATGGGGTTTTTGAGTTCTGATATTTAGTCTCGAGTGATATTTTAATGCCACTATACAGGAAAGTTAACCTTTAGGATCTATGTTAGTACAGTACTGAAGCAAAAGGTAGCCTATGATTACATATTGGGCACAATGTCTTGTGAAGAGGAAGTGCTGTTAACTGATTATAAGCTGTGTGGAATTTGAGACGGAAAACAGTGCTTAATATGTGTGTCTTGCCTATCATCACATCCCGTCTGAGCTGCATAAATTTATCATAATTGGCAAGATTCCAACAGAGTGACGACATAAAGTAGCACGGGCTCTATGCCAGTTTTGGCACTCCTTGAGTAGTTCCACTTCTCACCTTAAAATAAAATTGTAGACATATTTCACGAATTTTGCTTGTCCAAAAATGTGGCTAAGAGCAATATTGCTCCTCTTTTTGAGGAAAACCAGGTACTGTACTAAGTAGAACATACCAAACAATTGTAGTACAGTTCTTACCTATGTTTCTTCTAATAAAATGAGACCTATCACTAGAAAGTTATCTTGCTAGAAATATTTGATTAGTTAATTGAAATGACACCTCTGTGGCTGTAGAGTACTTCACATTCTGTACTTAAAGCTACAGTGCCTTTAATATGATATGGGCATACCATTTAACATTTAATTAATCTCCCCCCCCCATCCTCTGAAGATGCCAGCCGCAGAGACTGGCAAAACTTTAGGAAGAACAACCTTCAGAACACGGCCAAAGAGCCCGAAAAACCCACAACAACCACTAATTAATCTTAATTTGTATGAATGCTTGGGCATGTGTCATAAATTACTCAAGGCATGTTCCCCATTAAAATTGTTTTAATTAATTGTTTTAATTAATTACCAGAAGTCCAAACATTTCCCTCATTAGTAATCCTACAGACAAGCTGAAATCCTGTTGCACAACTTTACACTGCACAACAAGGATGACATCATCAGCCATGGTTGGGGGCAATAAAAAGCTTTCTATAACACAACACACAGTATGGAAATGCCCAAGACTCCTCTTTGTACAGCAACAGCCTTTGAGGACTGCAGAATGGGAGGGACAATGATTTAAAGCTGGAAAGCATCGTTAACTCAGTTCTTTGTTTCTTGGCTTTTCTCAGCTGAATGGACTTCAAGTTTCTGTGTTTTTTGGGTCACCTTCACAGTGCTTTTGTCCTCTTCACTGATCTTTATTTCATTATTCTTTGTCCTTTATCATACTTCGGCACTGCTGCTAGACTGCTGGCCTATAGCAATCAGATTCTCTTTTTTCAGAAGTGTCCAAACGGTGAAGGTGTGCTTCTCTCTACAATGGTCTTTCACTTTGTATCCTTTGTTTAAGAATGGGATATAACACAGTGTTTTCCCAGCTGCTAAGAGAGTTGGGGCATTTGCCCAAGAAATTACTTTCTCCTTCTAGGGCCAGTGAAAGAATTGATGTTACCTGTGTGGGAACAGCAGACAATCATGCCCAATGACTGCAAATATATCATAACGCAATGGTCCATAGGCAGGAACCAGCAGTATCACACTGGATAAATAAATTCCAAGTAGTAATCTCTCTGTTGATCAGAGGCTCTTTCTGGTGTCCATCAATCAGATAAGAGCAGAACCATTGGTGGTTTGTCTAGTGGTCAATAAGAGTTCAGTGATTAATTGCTGTAGAAAATATTTTAGAGAGCCAGAAACATATGTTTTGTATTCCGTAGTAAATTCAAAAAGAAGATGCAGGATAAAAAAAAAGTTTTGTGATTTTTGGGTCAAATATTACATTGAATATTCCAAGAATCTTGTGTCTTATTTACTAAATGAGTAGTTAGCCTTAAAAATGCTGAGTCAATACTACAGTTTAAACTGAATATTTTATGAATTTGTAAAATTAAAAAAAGGATTTTATCTCATTCCAGCATCTTTCTCTGAAGGCCAAACGAACTAAAGTTGATGACCACTGACGTCCTGTTTTCAGCTTATGATGTTGAAATTGCTGCTGATTTGAAACCGTGCTACTGTCCATCCAACAATTAGTTGATTAGCAACCTGACCCCCTACATCAACTATAAATATTGAAACGCCTGCCTGCCAGGATCCTGTAGGAATTTATGCATGACCAACACATTGTAACACTGAAGTAGGCCTTGCATTATGGACATTTTATTCAACAATCTTAATTATAATGACTGCTCTTGTTCACTAAACTAAGCAGAAAAATGAACATTATAAAAGGAGACATGCACAACTATATGGAATTTTGCATAGAGCTGTATTACACCCTTGGGGTGGAGGGGCGGGGGGAAGATACCATGTCCTCGGAGTGAAAAAAATGGAGCTCAGGTTCCTTTGGACCACTGTGAAAGCTGTTGGCCATCCTGGACCTGCCTACAAAATGTAGGCAGATTTGGGATCACAAGCAGAGCCTTGCAATACTTTAATGGGTTGTAATGAAAACCTTGAAACTGTGACTGTGCCTAACTGCTGTGATTCCCCCCTCCCCCAGTTTTTCTTTGAAGCAATAGATTTCTAATCTTCAATCAATTTCAATTTCTTCTTTTTGTTTTCCCCCTCCTTGCAATGACTCTGCTTTTTTTCAAGTGAACCTCTTTTCATAAACTCAAGGTATGGTCCTTTGGACCACTGTGAAAGCTGTTGGCCGTCCTGGACCTACCTACAAAATGTAGGCAGATTTGGGATCACAAGCAGAGCCTTGCAATACTTTAATGGGTTGTAATGAAAACCTTGAAACTGTGACTGTGCCTAACTGCTGTGATTCCCCCCTCCCCAATTTTTCTTTGAAGCAATATATTTCTAATCTTCAATCAACTTTAATTTCTTCTTTTTGTTTTTCCCCCTCCTTGCAATGATTGCTTTTTTTCAAGTGAACCTCTTTTCATAAACTCAAGGTATGGTTAATCTACACAAAAAAATTTGACGAAAATGTAAACTCCAGAATGAGGCTGATAAGGCGGGATGTGTGTTCTGTTCACAAACAGGACAGACAGTGATTGTCACTTGCTTGCCTTTTGTTCAAGAAATTTTCAAAAATGAAATTGAGGCCAGGCTCATACAGAAATATTCAAAATTTTGAATGTAGAATATACACACCTCTTTTGTGTTATTTCTGTGGCCTTACAAAGACTTCCTTCAGCCTGATACTTAAGATTGTTGCCAGTCAATAGCCAAGGGTTGGTGAGCAAGAAGTGATAAGAAAGGTTAAGGGAAGGACCTTGAGTGGGAATTCTTACAGTATTTGTTAGACTGAAGGGAAGGCAGTCGAAGGAGTGTCCTAGACTAGAAAGCAGATCAGTGGCAGAACTGGTGTTGAAAACCATTTGGCATCCCACTAGGTCATTTTGAATCTGTTTCCTGTTATATCAAACAAAAAGCACTCCTTATCTCACTGTAATGCTGTCAGTGCAACACAGAAGGGAAAGATGCCCTGTGAAAACAGCCACTTTAGAATGTTTTCAAGGGGATTCAGTTCCTTGCATATAATGTAGGGCACTAAGCTAAGTTTAACAAATGCCAAACTGTGTTTCTATATATCCAGAAGAATATCTTTATATCACTCACCCTATCCTTTCAATTTTTGTTAAAACATTGTAATCTTTGCAGTTGTGCTCAGACTGCCTTCCTCCAAAGTGAACTAATCTGTGCAGCATGCACTGATTAAACTGTGCATTGGCTTCTTTCCCACAAGAACTTTCTTCCCTATGTTGGTAGTATAGTTTTGGATAAATATGTATTTATTTTCAAACAAAATTGAATCGACAATGATGCACTTAGAAAGTGTGGATTTATGTTTGTTCTTACAACAGATATTTTGTTGAACGCCTTACTGTTTCACCCTCCCTTTTTAAATGTATGTAAATTATATTTTTTTTACACAGAATAAAGGTCTTCCTTCCCCTAGGTATGCATTGTTAGAGCTATATTCCCATTCTGCTTTCTACAAATCTGCAGAGGGGCTTCTCTGTCATGATGTGGTCTGTGCAATATTTTTGTGCTGTATATAATCGGCAGCTTGACTAAATATCATCGTAGCCTTTGGATTTCTATTTCTGTCTCAGTATGTAAGCTCTGCTGAGCCAACATTGTCTTCTATTGTGTACCGTGCAATGTCTGGAATATTGTGGACAATCCATTATAGGCATCTGACTTACTGTTCTCTTTCAAGGAACTTCCAAATTCCTAGATACAAAGTGTGTAAGCTTTCATGTCGCTTTGTCCTCTGTTAACAAACTTTAGGGGGAAAATAAAGTTGTGGAATCAAATAATCTTGGAAACTTGTGCCAATTAATGGAAGCTAAGTATCCTAATCTCTTAACAAGACTGTATTTCATTGCTGTCTTAATCTTTAAACTGTTTTCATTCTGAAGAATAAATTAGGTGCAAATGTATTTGCCAGCAAATGGCAAATTTGTCTGTATTATAAAACATAAAACAAATTTATTTGCCAAAAAGATCTGAGATCTATGTAGAGGGAGGAGTGTGCTTTGGATTCTAATGAATCCTGAATTCAGAATTGAAATGGGCTAATTTGGACAGATTCAAGAAATGCCTGAATTAAAGTGGGACTACTCTGAAGCAGAAATTTTACATATGAACACTTCTGAAGCTTAGTTAGCAATTCAAGTCCAGAAGGACTAAATTACACAACATGTCTCCCCAGGACATTGAAAATGCAATAAGATGTGGGTCAATAACAGATGTAGAATACAGTGAAAAGAAGGATAAGCATTTAGCATTTTCCAGGTAAGAAAAAAAAATTCTAATGATTTTAGTTTGTGTTTTTTGGGGTGCATAAAATTTTTTCCAAGAACAGCAATTTCAGAAAGATTTTTTTTTTGTTAGCTTAAACAAAATTTTATGATAGATATTTTTTTGTCAGAAAAAAAAGGTTTGTGCTTATGTTTAATTAATTTTTTAAAATTACACATTGGATTTTTTAATTAAAAAGACATGACGGTAAAGGATAAATGGTAAGGCGTGAGAGTTTCTCACATTGCCAAAAAGTAGAGAACCACTGATCTTGATTGAACACTGAAGTGAACCAGCCTTTTAGATAGTTTTCTTTAAAGGAGAAAGGAATTTTTTAAAAAGGATTTTAAAAACAGACCTTATGCACACAGTAGAGATGTGAATGTTTCCTTAAGAAACAAAGGAATATTCTGGTTTGAGATTTCTGCAGCTCCACCGGTTACAAGCAACTTGTTTTTGTTAATTATTCATTAAAAATAAACACAGGGCTTGGTTTGCAAGAGGAGTGTGCATCACCACTATCATCATCATCATTATTCAAAAATACCAGGCACAGTCAATCAAAACTATAAAAATATTGACTGGCATCATACACAGTCATGGCCAAAAATATTGGCACCCTTGCAATTCTGTCAGAAAATGCAACCCTTCTCTCAGAAAATCATTGCAGTTGCAAATGTTTTGGTACTCATGTTCATTTCTTTGGTTTCCGTTGGAACAACACACACACACACACAAAACCAGAAGAAAAGTCAAATCTGATACAGTCCCACACAGAAACCCGAAAATGCACTGGCCAAAATTATTGACACCCTTAACTTAATATTTGGTAGCACCCCCTTTGGAAAAAATAACTGAAATCAATTGCTTCCTATAACCATGAATTGAGTTCCTTACACCTCTACTGGAATTTTGGACCACTCTTCTTTTGCAGTCTGCTCCAGGGCCTTCAGATTTGAAGGATGCCTTCTCCTGTTTTAAGATCTCTCCACAGATGTTCTATGGGATTCAGATCTGGACTCTTTGCTGGCCCTTTCAGAACTCTCCAGTGCTTTGTAACCATTTCAGAGTGCTTTTTGAAGTGTGTGTTTGGGTCATTCTCCTGCTGGAAGACCCATGACCTGTTAGAGATGCAACTTTCTGACACTGGCCACTATGTTGTGCCCGAAAATTATTTGATAGTCATCAGATTTCACATTGTCCTGCTGGAATACCCATGACCTCTGTTAGAGATGCAGCTTTCTGACACTGGCCATGATGTTGTGCCCGAAAATTATTTGATAGCCATCAGATTTCACAATACTGTTCACACAGTCAAGGCATCCAGTGCCAGAAGCAGAAAAGCAACCCCCAAACATCTTTGAACCTCCACCATGTTTGGCTGTAGGGACTGTGTTCTTTGAATGCCTCATTTCTTTTTCTGTAAATAGCACCATGATGCCCTTCACCAAAAAGCTCTCCTTTTGTGCCATCTGTTCACAGTATGTTCTCCCGGAAGGATTGTGGTTTTATCACATAGGTTTTGGCATACTCCAGTCTTGCTTTTTTATGCCTTTGTGTCAGCAGTGGTGTCCTCCTGGGTCTCCTACCATAGTGTCCCTTTTCATTCAGATGGCAATGGATAGTGCGAGCTGACACTGTTGTACCCTGTGTCTGCAGATCAGCTTGAATTTGTTGGGAAGTTAATCTGGGTTCTGTATCCACCATTCAAACAACCCTTCATTGTAATTTTTCAGTAATTTTGCTCTTTCGTCCACGTACAGGGAGGTTAGCTACAGTGCCATTGGCTGTAAACCTCTTGATATTGCACACAATTGGACACAGGAACATTAAGATCTCTGGAGATGGACTTGTAGCCTTGAGATTGTCGATGTTTTTCCACATTTTTTTCTCCAATCCACAGACAACTCTTTATACTTCATTCTTTTCTCCATGCTCAGTGTCACACACAACACAAAGGTTGAGTCAACATTTCCCCATCTTAACTGGTTGCAAGTTTGATTACCCTGTTTCCCCAAAAATAAGACCTAACCTGAAAATAAGCCCTAGTATGGTTTTTCAGGATGCTCGTAATATAAGCCCTACCCCCAAATAAGCCCTATTTGAATGAAACCCTGCCCTCCAGCATTGTGCAGCAACCAGAAGATGCTGTTATTGTTTAGTAATTAAGTCACGTCTGACTCTTCGTGATCCCATGGACCAGAGCATCCCAGGCCCTCCTGTCTGCCACTGCCTCCCAGAGTTGGGTCAAATTCATGTTGGTAGCTTTGATGACACTGTCCATCCATCTTGTCCTCTGACTCAGCCGCACAAACTCACAACCCCACGAGTGGGAGTTAGATCAAATAATTTTCCTTCACATGTTCCAAAAATGGGGAAAACTGACTCTAGACCTTTTTGCCTCCCACAAGAATCAGAAATGCAAGAGCTATTGCTCCCATGCCGGGATTGGCAAACCCTCCCGAGGAGACGCATTCGTTGGCCGCTGGCCCAAGACCCTCACATATTTCTTCCCACCATTCCTCCACAAGGTAATTGTCCAAAACCTAACCATCCTCATTGCTCCTTGGTGTGCGAGACAGCTCTAGTTCCCAGTGCTACAACACCTGTCTTCCCACGTCTATCACCTCCGCCGCCTACCACACCTCCTTCATTCCTCCACAAGGTAATTGTCCAAAACCCAACACTATCCTCATTGCTCCTTGGTGTGTGAGACAGCCCTAGTTCCCAGTGCTACACCACCTGTCTTTTGACGTCTATCACCTCCCCCGCCTACCACACCTCCTCATGCAAAACAATTCCCAGATCCTTCATCCCGACTTACCTGCTCTGCACCTGGCAGCGTGGAGGGTTCTAC